ATTTGTTAGCAATTTAGTGATATTTATCGCAACAAAAACCAACTCACACTTGTTGCTTTTTGGAAAAAAGGAACCTGTTAACAAAGCAATTCCTGTGACCTGTTTCCTAAACAATGCCAAACTCAATGGGATATTCTGGGAACGGAAACAGAGATGCTGTAAAAATGAATTAGAAGTGAAAAAATAACAATTCTACTGTAGGTGTCCTTTTGCAGGCGTGTCAATTTACTTCCGCTTTTCTTAAGGGGGATAAAAAAATAAATCCCAAGGCAGGTGTTCATCCCACTTACCTTGCTATTACTTTGGCATTAATTACTACCCAAAATGGTTGATAATTGAAACATTTCTATAGTCTGTCTGCCATTTCCATAAGCCAAACAGATCGCTTCCCCCTTTTGACAGATGGGGCTAGCATTTTCAAATGCCCACGCCCACTTAAGTGGGGAAAAACCAGTAGCAAAACTGCTGCTGGGCTGTGGTTGCAATCAAAGCCATCAGCGGCCACAAAGTCCACGTCGTCGTCATCATCATCATCGTCGTCGTAAAGCGTTTCCATGGCCAAGATTGATCATCGGGCTGGGCCCGAGCTCATCCATTTTTGTTTGTGTTTTTTTTTTTTTTTTGCCCCGCTGCTTTAGCTTTTTGGCCTGCCCAATCAGCCACACCCACAAGATGTGCAACGCTCATATTAAAATGGCTTAAAAAGGCAGCAGCCAGCGCTGAAAGTGGCAAGACCGAGCAATAACAACGGCGACCCGCAGGAGATCTCCCAGAGATGGCTCGCTTCCGTTCCAGCTGCAAGGTGTGTGGCAGCAGCCAGGCCCAAACAGTAGCTGTAGCTTTGGCTGTAGCTTTGGCTGTAGCTGTAGCTGTAGCCGTGGCCCCCACTTCCACATCCACATCTACTGCCACATTCACTGCCACCGAAAGCGCAACAATTGGCAATTTCATTTGCTGCGCCCCCAAAAACGCAGCTCCAACAGGTACGCAAAGCCGCTGATGTGGATATGGTTGCCTATTGCTGGTGGGTCTTACAGTGAAGACTCCATATGAAAAACTATCATAGGGTGAAACCTTAAGAATTTATTAAAAAAACTGTATAACGTATGAGCTCCAAATGGGAGCAATTAAAGCTTACCTTAACCAAGATTATAAAAATAAGTAATATGGTAATTTTATATTTTATTTTTATAGAGATTAACGAACAAATTTAAATTTATATTTCTAACTAGATTAAAAAATGTTTCTGTATTGTTTATAAATAAACATACAACAACAGTACAACATTTTATAAGTAGGACAAAAAAATTGTAAAGTATTATTGTTTGCATACGTGACAATGTGCATCTATCTCTAATTTTTCGCATTTTAATTGATTTTTATAAAACCATTAGTCTAATGGGTTAAATGTCAAAAATATCAAAATATTTGTGAGATTTTTGTTTTTATTACCTATGAAACCTTTAAGTTTTTCTTAAGCTGTAGCCACAGTTCCCAACTTAGCATGCTCCATTCAAACTTTCTACGACTGCGACACGCTGTGATCTCTATGAACATGGTCTAAATGGTGGTGGGCCATGTTGGAGGTGGAAGTGGAAGTGGGTGCCGGGGAACAGAGCTGGTGCTCCGTGTGCAGTGCATAAAAGCTGGCGGTGCTACATCATCGTCAAACCCGTCGACTTGCGACTTCGATTTCCTGTGCCTGGATTGACGTCTCCCAGGTCACTTGCCACAACGTTTGGCTGCATTCGTAATTGCTCAGCAGTGAAATTTCCATATGATAATATTTATTCGCTGGAATATGCCTCCATCTCGAGTCGTCTCAACTGCATCTGTCCGTCCTCTGGTGGCTACGCCTGCGCTCCACGCAACACTTGCTTGCACTGACAAAAAAAATAGGGGATTCATTTATGAATTGAAAGAAATTTTCATAAATATTTTAAACATATTTGATTAATCCTACATATAATTAAATATGTTACAGATTAATAATATTATTTGTTGGGATCCCCAAAAATGTTATTTAATATTGCAACCTCACATAAAACGATATAAATTTTAAAGAGGATTGAAAGAATTCGAGCGAAATTTGTTTTAAAAATAGTTAAGATATTAATTTAATTATATTACATTTTTGATTTTACCAACTACTTTTGTAATTTTAAATATACACAAAAGACACTAAGTTTTAATTGTTATGATTTCTTTCTCTGTGCGGTAGTTTTTGTTGTCTATTTGACACTGCGCAGGCGGCGAGGATGCTCTGCATCCAACTCGAAACTCCACCTCTAAACGGCAAACTGCAACTCCAACTCCGATTCCAAAATGTGTGGGTGGTCGTTTGAATGCCCTGCCCGGCTGCAAGTCTTTCTCCCGAGTCCCGAGTCCCGAGTCCCGACTCCCGACTCCCAGCTTCGTGTTCGCATTTTTATTTCCATTTTTCATCTTTCGGAAAGGCCAATGCTTCCACTTCTTCAATCGATTTGAGTTTTATTATCTGGTTGGCATTTTAGTTGAATTGTTAGCTTAGTTTATGCGGTTTCCTCCTCGGAAATGGCAGGCGAAGACCATGTGTGGATTATGCAAGGCGTATGGAATCTGCATTTTCAACTGTTGTTGGGTGGGCATATAACACGGTGTGTAGAAGACGTGAAAACTAGACAAAAAATGCTCAACAAACTGTAGTTCAATTGAATTTACAAAAAAAAACTAAACAATTAAAAAAGAAACCAGTAAATAATAATAATAATATATAGTTAAGTTAAGAAATATTATTTATTTAAATTAAAATGAAGTGTGAAGTTTGAGCTTAAAAAAATCAGCACATTTACATAAAGGATTTTACTAAACCAACCAGAAATAAATAAAGTAACTTTTATCTTGAAACATTTTTAAAAATTCTGTACTTTGTACTGGTATATTTTAAAACAAGCATTTTTCGGTTGCATGAAATCATGAAAAATATTAAATTTGAAATATAAATTAAATGCGATTTTATTTCATTATAATTTAATATTATTATTAATATTTTCTATTTAAAAAATACATTAATTGTAATATTAAAATGTTATACGCTATATTCAGAGATTAAATAGCTTTAAAAATAACTTTAAAGGATTAAAACCCATAATTGATTTTTAAGTTCAAGTATAAGTAATCTATTCTTAATTAGTTAACTGCAAGTACAGTTTCCTTGGTCACTTTATAGAATGTTTTCCTGCGAACAACGTCCACCTTGCATTGGAGTTAAACTGTAGTAGCACCACCCGCAGCAGCGGGAATAAAATAGCTACCCCTATAAGTTCAGAGGGCACGAAATTTACAAAATAAAAAAAAATAAACAGGTAATTAGGTCAACGCCGCGTTGTCGAGTGTCGCCGGCACGCGTAATGAACCTGTTCGGGAGTTGAGTTGGCCGACAAAGCCACTCACTCGCCCTGCATTTCTAATAAATTTCTAGCCGGGCCGATGAGACGTCAAAACAACACGCGCGTCTTGCTCCTGGAAATGTCAGGTAAGTCGGCAATTAAATATGCGACCCAGCACACCCTTACACATACGAATGATGATGATCTTTCTGGCCAGAAGTTCAGTGGTGCACGGAAATGTGCGGGACACGCCGACAGGAGACGGCGTTGGAAAACGGGCGACTGTCGCGCGCCGCTGTTTTCACTAATATCCGCTCACCCCGACCCGCGACGGACTTTACTTTAATGTCTCGGACAGAGGGCATTCCATCAGACCGCCTCCATTTGAATAATTAGGCGCTCGTGCCCGTCGCCAGTCGCCCGAAAAGGAAAAGGCCCACTTGCATTCCTGTGCACTTTGCATAACGTGTCCTGCGCCTGCTCGTGCTCCTTCTCCTCCTCCTCCTCCGACTCCTCCGCCTCCTCCTGTTGCTGGGCATTGAACAGGAACAAGTGCTTTACCCTGGTAGGAGTTGGTGGGCCGTGTCAGGCACTTGGAAAAAATATATTAAATTATCAAACAATTTTTTTTCTAGAATTTATTGTTAGCTTATAAACATTTTTGAACTAGTAATTTGCTTTAGAAAAGCTTTTTAAAGTTTCCCAAAACTTTACGACAGAGAATTTACAATTTACAGGTTTTAGTGGCAACCCTAAAATGGTTTAGAATATGGCACAATTGATTGGCTTAGACTTCAAGACATAATAAAAATAAACTACGATATAAACATAGACAATATTTAGTAAAATAAAATTCAGCAAGACTGGGAATAATATATCTGGCTTTTTGAGAATATAAAGTTTTTAGCATTTTTAGCATTTAAAAATTTAAAGAAAACTCTTTTTAATCTTATTTTTATTTTAGTAAAGTATTTAGCTCCTATATACTTAAAAACAAAGGGTGGTTTTATTCGAGTGTAGGAAAATGTTGCGGTCAGCAGAGTCCAAGAGGGGCGAGTGCACTGAAGCGCTGAATGCCGGCATATGTTTCCATGTAGGTGTTGCTGGTGGCTCGTGGCCTCCACTGTGGTGCAGTAGGTGCTATAGCACCTGGCTGGGTGGCAAAGGATAAGGGCTGTAGCGGAATTTAGAAGTCCAGCTGATGGGTTTTTGAAATCTCTTAATGGGAAATTCAGTAGTGTACAAATTTAATATCCATTGTTCAACAATTGCAATCTCTAAAACACTATAGTAGTTTTATAACAGTTAATAAAATAATTTGGTTAGAAAAATATAAAAAAAACATATTTCAAAATTAAAAAAAAAATCCTGTCTATTTATAATTATTTTTTCAATTCAATATATATTAATTCATTTATATTAATTGAATATTGGTTTTTATTAATTTGATATGACAATTAAAATACAGTCATATTTAACACTTTTAGATTTGATTTAGAGAAATAATAGTAATGTTAAAATTGTCATATTTTCGGAACACTCCATAAGAAATTAAACATTTGCTATTTCCAATTGCAGTAGGCCTGGACTAACTTAAAATTTTGACAAGGAAAATTGGTAGGCCCATTTGTCCATTCGACAATTTTTCTGTATAGAATAACAACCTCTTCCGAATTTGTTAATTATATACAAAATAATGTCAATTATACCCATCGAAGTTCCAATTCAGCCGTATGCTGGTCAGCTGCTGATCATCAAGAGCATTCTGCCGAACGTAGCACCTCAGGATTTGAACAAGTCTAGCAAGTCGAAAAAATCAAGGCCATCCTACTTCGAGCGTAGTAGCATTCTCAACAAGCTACAGAAACATTTCGCCGCAAACAACCAGGCGGGTGAAATAGATCTGGTAGACTGCGAATCCCTCTTGGATGCTTTTCTGGCCGCCTTGGAAACCTACATGAAGTTTGTGGTTAAGAAAACTATAGAGTTGTGCGAACATCGATCGGGCTATCATTTGTTTAACGATGAACGCTGTGTGATGAAGAACGATATGAGGATTACGATGACGTTTCTCAACAATTTGGAGATGGCCGACTATGGCTCGTCGGATGACGATGCCGGCTTCTATCGCAAGCACCGTGCTGAGAATGTCGAAAGGGAGAAAAAGTCGGTGCGCAAAGAGTCGTCGAATGACACGGCCATGATGGCCATCAGTGGTCGGAAGCGCCCGGCGGAGGTTCCAAGTTCGGAACCCACTCCTGTTCCCAATACCGCTCCAGCTAAGGTCGCGGTCCAGCGGCCATTTGGCATGAGATTCAAGCACCTGATCATAAGGGATGTGATGCAGTTCCTGGAGGAGGACAGGCGCTACTCCCGCTCCAACATGCTCTTCGAAGCCTACTTGAAGTATAAGACATAAAAAATATATTTGAAGAATTTTAAAAAGGTTCCAGATTGATATTTTGAAAACAATAAAAAACCTTTATCATGCCAACCCTTATAAGCCTACATAAACAACAATAACTAACACAATCCGTTTTTTATTCTTCAATTTAGTTGCCAAAGTTGCAATTGTTTTAATTGAAAAATTTTTGACTTTTCCTTTTTAAAAATTGTGCCTATACTATTTATACATTTTTAGTTGTCAAAAAAAAAAGATCTAGCCCCCTCTATAAAATGGAAATAATTTTCTTACATTTTTAATCAAACATATTTTTTAGAAAGGCCAAACATGTTTTAATAAATACCAGAAAGTATTTAAAAATATTTTTTCCATTTTTTAAGCCACCACTTCTCATTCCATACATTTTTTCTTGCCCCGCTGCACGCGCGTTACGATTTCAATTGCAGGAATAGTAATCGCAGTTCAATGAACTTCCTCTTCGCGTAAATCCCCAATGAAAACCCGACAAAAGCCCAAGGAAACAGGTGGTGCTCGGTAGAAATGTGTGTGCTGTATCCTTTGTTTGGCTGCACTTGGCATTCAATGGATCCCGATCCCTCGATTCGTGCACTTTGAACTTTAGTGCTGCACTGCTGCAGACGCAGACGCAGACGGAGACGGAGGCGGATGACAATGGAGCCGGGCACTCAAAGGAATATCCGGCGGGACAGGAAGCATATGCGCACTGGAATCGAGTATCGAGCATTGCGCATGCGCCGCCGCGCGATAGGAAACGTGATTTTATCGGTGCGGCTCATTATGTTAAGTGCTGGCAATAAAATCAAAGCGCACGCGGGCGACACATTTCATTGAACTTCAATTGAAGCCGTTCGTTCTTCACCACTGCTCACTCACGTATTCTTACGGAGACATGACCGAGGATCGTGCTAGGAACCTTAGCATTAATTTCCATGTAATTGTGGGCATTCCAAAGGGGTTAGTGCGATTAAAAATGCATTGAGGTTCGGTATATCTAAAAAAAAAACCTGGCATAGAATTGGTATTGAGCTGGGGTCAACCTTTGATCAGTCTTATAAGACGCTGTAATATATGCTCGTGTTCTTGGTGATATCAACAAAGGGGTCAAGAATGGGGAGTTCCAAGAATATCAGAGCTATCGAAAATAATTTATTTAAAATATTATCTTTTATATTTCAAACTTTATGAACTAAATTAAAATTAAAGTTATAGTAAAACTTGTTACAATGAACAAATAATTCATAACATATTTAAGTTCTTTCTTTAGTGTTAAGGAAAAATGAATAAAAAATCAACCATTTTAATGTATAATTTTAAATTTGGTTACTATTTATAGTCACGCATTAGGACAGCTGCTAAAACACAAGATCACAATCTAATATTATGTTTAGTTTGAATATAAAGAAACTTGAAAAAGAACATCCTTCGCCACAACAATGCACCCATACAATACTATACCCGTCCTATTCATAGATAACCACTTGATAAGCGCCTAATGTTTAAACAAATTCAAAGTGGGCCCATCCGTAGGATCACCACCTGTCTGAGGTGCAAAGCTAGCCACCCCTATAAAATGCACCCTCTCCAAAGTACTTGCTACATGTTGCAACCTCAACTCGGGCGTATATCCCTTTTTTCAAGGACTCGCAGGAGCAGCTGGCAGCGATGGCTCGAGGAAAATATCAAACGCTGTCAGGCGTAAACTTGACAAGTAGACGAGCAGGAAAAGTTCTCCCTTTTTTCTCCTTGACCAGCGATCGGAAAAGAAGCGGAAACCACCCCAAAGTTGGCACTTTAGGGCACTTAGAAAAACATTTTATAATATAAATATAAATATTAATTTATTTAAAATATTTTTTTTGAAAAACGAATGTATTAAAATAAGTCAAATTTGTTATTTTAATATTAGCAATGATCGTTGGCAATTGTTTTTTGAGTTTTTATTTTTAAAAGATCTCCGGGATTTTAATCTGTTTTGTTTCCATTTCAGCTGATTGAAATATATATATTCATACATGGTGGTCAAAAATGAATACAAATTTATTATATTGGCTTATTTTATGAACAAGTTTAAAAAGTGTTTTATTTGTGGCATTTTATATAATCTAGTAGTAGTAATGTATTTTGCTTCTTCCCAGGTTCCGAGTATTTTTACGAAAGGAAGGAGGTCAATTGTGAAAGTGTACGTATCGCTTTTCCAGGCGGAAGAGTCGACTTTTTATGATGTATGCAAGGTGTATTTGAACAGAGGGCCGTGTTGCCGAGAACCTTGCAACCCAGTAAGGACAGGAAGGCGAATTCCAGCACATGCAACACCACCGCACCACCACCAGTTTCGATCCGTTAGGTTCTTCTTTTTATAGGTGCACCACTATCGTGTTTGTATAGCAGGAACACACAAAGAGTTGCTTTTGTGTGGGGCAGGAAAATGTGTTGCACCTTTTTTGCATAACGCTGTTTTCTGTTCTGTTCTGTTCTGTTCTGTTCCGATCCGTACGATGAGGATATATGTTTGTCATCGTTGTATTTTTAAAGACGACTCCGTCTCTTCCTCGCTAAAGTAGCAGCTGTGCCAATACGACACCGTAAAAATCCAACGAATTGTTGTTTACCGAATGGCTTTCGGGACCGGTGTTCCATTCAGATGGGGATCCCGGGGAATCGGAGTCGGATTTGATTGGAGCCGGGCTACGCTGGCCGTGTTTGCCCGCTTATTTACATATAATTGAGCACTCTCGTTATCTATCTAGTCATTCAAATAAACCCATTTCGAAGGTCTCTGTGGTTTCTCAATGACAATACTTTTATATGATTGAAGTTACAAGTAACAATCAATATTTATAGTTTTGTCTTTGCTTTTGAGTTAAAAAAAAAAACAAATAAATATTTCGTTATAAAATCACTCTGGCCAGAAATTCTACGATTTTCATAAGATTCTTTGTATCTGTTATCGAAAATAATATCTAAACATTTTTTGAAAGAATTATTTTGAACTGTTATTTTAAAAATTGATTTGTTTTGAAAAACGATTTAAATAGTTATGCATATAGATTTTAAGTAAGAAATGTGCATATTTAGGTCAAAGCAGTTAGGTCTATATTGTGAAAATATTTTTGGCTTAAAATTTTATTGTTCATTGACCTTAGGCCTTGATTTTTGAAAACATTATAAGCTCCACGATTTAATTACCACTACGATTCTGTATAATCCTCTGTCATTTCGAAATTAAGGTGTTGGTCCTCAGTTAAAGTCGATCATAAAGGTGATGAATAGAAGAATTCGAGTGCCTGAAAATCCTCACACTCCATTTCGGGCGGCACGGCTCCGTTTCTAATCCGCAACATATGCCGCCGAGCAGAGCGGAGCGGACCACCATCCAACAGCCAACAGCCAACAGTGGGCACTCACAAAAGAAGCCATAAAAACACATGGACACGTAACAATTTGCGACGCTGCAGACTGCGGCCCCAACTGTTGCGTATTAGAGCTGGAACAGTGAACAGTGAACAGTGAAGAGTAAACAGTGAAATCCGGGAAGAGGGAAGCGACCAGCCCCCGGTAAGACAATTTATGACTTTATTAACTTCAAAATGCAACCAGGCGGGCAACAAAGTGTTAAGCCACGCCGAAGCTGAAGCCAAGGCGATGAAGTTGTGTAAATGAAATTAATCTTCAATAGACACAGGGCAATAAACGAAAGCAAGCATCCCGGGCACCTCTCACTTACACTGGTCGAAAATATTTTATGATATATGGATTTAATGAAATGAGGTTTCAATAATGCAAAAAAAATCAATAAATACTGTATATATTTTTTTAACAAAAATATTAAAAGATACAATCTCAAAGCAAAATTAATAATAATAAATATATTTTCAAAAAAAAGATTTAAATGCATTGATTTACTGAAAGAAAAATGATCTTATATATTTTAAGCTTTATACAAATTAGATATTCAAATTCAAACAATTATACGAAATATCAATGGTTCAAGGTTCAGATTTGAATGGTCTATTATTTATGCAAAATAATAAAAATTTAAAAAAAATTAAAAATTAAAACAAACACATTGTCTTAATAAAAACAACTTTATCTTACAAAATTTTGAGCAGTTTTTTTTTAGTAAGTCATAATTTTTGCAGTGTATTCAGCTATGCCATTAGTCATTAAATAATTTTTCGTCTGAAGCAGCCGCTTCCATCTACATTTTGAACTGCATCTCTTGGCGCAGTTGCTGCTGCTACTTTTGCTGCGGCTGCTGCGTATTTTGTCAGGTGTCATAAAAACCGAATTTATTGCGCATGTGCAGCGGCCATAAGAGCAGCGGTCTTCAGCATTTTGTTACAGATTTTCAGTTTTATTATTTAATTTTCTCGCTGCGAGAGCATAAATCACGATGCGTGCCGCACTAAGGTGACAGCACTTAAGGGCATATAAACACACATCGACAGCGGCATTGGAATCGAGATCGAGATCGGGATCGGGATCAGGATGGGTCGGATCCGCAACAAAAGCGAGGAGCAGGTTGCTGGAATTTTAATTAAATGGGACGCGGGCAGTTCCATTTAAGGTGCGTAACATGGACAGGGGTTTTCAGAGCGAAGTCGCTTTATCGGTATAGGAAAGCTGTTCGGTTTCGGTTGATTGATGACCAGTCAAAAAACCCATTGAAAATTCATAAGAATTCTCGAAATTTTTAAAATAAGTTTGGTAATAAACCTATATAAATACTAATGAAGTTGTATTTTTTTAATAAAGATGGAGGTAAGTCTTTGCTTACAAGGGGTTCTGTTTCTGTGTTTGTAAACTAAAACAGAATTATTTTATTATGTGTTCATAATTTAACACTAGTCCTTAAACAATGTACAAAAAAAGTCAAGTTGAAAGTAGTTTTGTATTTATTTACATCCATTGAAAATCGAGAATATAATCTGTTTCCATTTCATAGCAAATTATTTCATTTAAGATTAGTTTTAGTAATGGTAACTAATTTTAAATAGTTGTTGTGTTTTTCCAAATAAGTAATCTTTCAAATAAATGCAGACCTTATAAGATATCTTAAAGTC